AGCTGCCAGCGAGCTCACTCGGTGTTCTGCGGAGTCCAGCAGAGCTCCAGAATTCACACAGCTCTGTTGGGTACAACTGAATGGCGCCTCACCCAGAAAATCCACATCCCGACTGCTTTCAGGAGGTGTCAGGTGAACTCCAGAGAGGCTTCTGGTTTTGAGTACGTGTACGTTTATCGAATGTTCCCTTCTCCACGGTCCCCTAAGGATACCAGCCCTCAACTGGGGGGAATTGGCCGTTTTGAAACTTGGACAAAAAGAGTCGGGGAAGAAAAATGTTTTTGTTCTGACCAGCTACCGTGGTTTCTCTAGAGAAATCATACAGTTCTCCTGTAGGATAAAGATTTTTAAGCTTGTCTGTTGTTGCTTCTGTTTCTTTTGTAACGCCCCCAAACCCCTCAACAAAAGCTGAGAAGAAAAAAAATGTCCTGGAAGGATCAGTTCCGTTAGTGTCGTGTTCTGTGTCAGTCGTTTGAGAACGTGCGAAGCCGCACTGCACAAAACAGGTTTCAAGTATTTCATTCACAGAACGAAAGTGAAGCCCGCAAAACTGAAAGAACTTGGTTTGCACCCAGACACACTGGCAGAAGCTGTTAATCCACCAGTACAGTATGGTCTGTAAAGCTGCTGTCACGTGAAGAACAGAGACGTTCTTCTAATGATGCACGAGACAGGAATGGGCAGTAACTTCTGAGTTAAAACGTTGCTCAGGTGTGTTTTATTAATTCTTCTTCTGAAGGATGAAGACCTTTATCTTAACCACTGGGGTACTGGCAGGTGTTTTTGTGACCGTTGGCAGGTTGGGTAGAAGGGATGTCAACAGATGTTAAGTCTCCATTTTCTTACCCCATTTGAGCAGCCGCGCAGGCAGGATACGCTTCACCTGACTGCCAGAGGGGGAATGTCACCGTCAGCGTTTTGGACAGCTTGGGTTCCAGGTGTGGGGGATTTGGTTTGTATCAGTTCAGTGCTCCGGTTTCTGGCTTTCTCCAGCACAAAATTAATCTTCTCAAGTATTTGTTGAATTCAAACTATTTTATTGAACCGTAGTGATCTGAGGTGCTAACGCAGCTCTGCAGCACCTGAGACCGAGGTCTTAACAGATTTTACTTTAAGGTGGGGTAAGTGTCGCTGTGCCTTAAAGCCAGTGTGGTTTGTCAAGCACGGCAGCACGTGCATGAGGAGGGAGAGCTGGCTTTATGCCTGCAAAAGCAGGTTTTTTGCTATCTTTTCATGTTGCTCCCGTGTAGGACAGTAAATCTGAAAAAGTTTACAAGCTTAAATGAAATGATGAGGTAATTAGTTCTGGGTTCGTGATATATCCTCGTAACTTGAAAATGCGTGTAAGGCAGTTCTGGGGAACAGGCGCACAAGCTTCAGTGGAAACACGAGGGCCCATTGAGCTGGCTGCTCCTCTCTTGCCATCAGTTGCTCTTTCCTGAGTAAGTGATACAAGTTCTTTCAACTTTTTCTTATCTGTGTTTCGTGACTTTAAAAATTTGGAAAAGTACAGTTGTTTTCCACTTGAAAGAAGTATGTTGCCTTGATAGGAGTGAGTAGCAAACGCAAGGGATGGGATAAGTGCTTGAACTCAGAGCAGACGTGCTGCTTGGGGTGTCTGGATATCCTGTGGTTGGAGCAGATGCTGTAAATCCATCACGATGGTTGAAGCACACGCCGTAAATCCATCACGAGACTGAAGAACGGAGGGGCTGACGGAACTGTTCCTGCTGCCACCCAGAACGGCTCAGGTGACGCTGGCCTGGTCCAGGCGTGCTCCCTCCTGGCCCTGCCAGAAGATCTGGAGGAGCTGAAGCGATTCTCACGTGCAGAACAAAGGGCTGCTCTGCGGCAAGAGCAAATAGTTCAAGTCTTTCTGCTGTTAAAATCAGCAACGCTTTTATGGTTCAGTTTGTGGCATCTACTGTTTTGTCTACCTCTACACCTGCGTTTCAGCCATAAGCAAAGCTTCTAACTTGCCTTAGTTCTTACAATTCTTTCTAGGCACTTTGGGGAAGTTACCACCCACCCACGGCAACCTTTTGTCGGTATGTTTGTTCACCAAGTGCTTTCTAACGGGTAGATTGCACAGTGCGAATGGCAAGGCCAGGATTACGTGTGTCAAGCCTTGGCCCAGTTTTAAAATTCACAACTGACTAAGGTTATGTTTCAGAATACTGTAAAATAGCTTTTGGGCAAGACCTCCTCCATGCAGACGGACAAGGAGTACGGATGATTATCCTGTATTTAAAAGGAAGATCAGTGCTGTTTGTCCGGGAGCAGTGAACAAGCACACCCATAGTTTTGCATGCACAGGAAAAAGGGAAATTTTATTTTTTTCCCTATAACACCTAAACCTAAGGCCTGTTGTTCCATTTGATACTACAGAAGACAGAAGTGCAATTCTGTAGAATTGCTGTGCCCGTTTTCAGATTTAGCAGTTAAGTTTTTGCTTACACCATTCTCAGGAACACCGAGGTCATTTAACTGTGCCACTCAATGAAATTCCACAGGGTTTCTTTAAAAGATGAAGATCTGAGGTGTCAGAAGAGTCGCGTGATACTGTGCAGCGAAAAGTGGATTCTGTGGCTGAGTTTGCTTCCAGACGCACTTAACAGAAAATGAAACTTCAGGGTTTTTCTTCCCTTCTTTGTACTGCAGTGAGGAGAGTTACAACGTCACCGATTACTCGTTACGGGACCAGCTGGTGGTACAGCAGTGCGACAGCGAGGACCTGCCTTCCTCTCCGGTGAGGAACACCTCGAGCGTGCTGTACTCGCGGCAGAGCTCGGCCACGCACCTCTTCAGGCTGGCGGTGCTCAGCAACCACGCGGGGGAGAAGGTGGAGATGCTGCTGGGAACAGACACTCAGTAAGTCAGCACTTGGTCGCTTCTGCCGTTTTTGCCCTGCTCGTGCTGAAGTGCTGTTACTAGTGCTGCTGTTGGGGGTCTTGGGGCCAAGAAGTGACTACGCCTCTGCCTTGGAGATGGCCGAATCCCTTCTGGGTATTACTGGAGAGGCAAACAGGCTGCAGGACAGAGATTTAAGCAGTTTGGATTTCTTGGGGTTTGGAGAAGGTTGCGGAAGGAATTTCTATTTGCTTTATTTTAAAGTGATACGGTAAAAAAGAAAAAGAAGTAGTTTTGGCACATAATGCAACTGTTAAGTAAACTAGCCAATCTAACGATTGCATTTTGTAATAAGGAAGTTTATTGTTTAATTTGAACTACAAATGATTTTTAAGTATCTGAGTCATCGCCGGGTTTTGCTCTAGCACAAGTATGATGCATTTAAATACTTCTCTAACAAACCTTCTGAGACCTGTAAGTCAAGACAGAGATTTTGCACCTCGCTAACGTAGTGCTTGTATCTGATCATCGTTATGTCAGGGGGTGAGCGCCTGAAGTAGGCAGGCGCAGCCAGCAGCAGGCTGCAGCTGAAAGCAGGGTACGTGTGCGCACTCGGGAGCTTGCGTCACTGTGCGGCCACCCGGCAAAGAGCTTTACAGAGCTCAGACTTGAGTACCGGGACCGCAGGGTTCGGTTAGGCGTGCTCTGCCTCCGATGGTTTTCTGTGCTGGTTTGCTCCTCACCGTTGTGAAGGATCTCATCCCCACTGCCGGTTCTCGGGGCAGGGACCGCAGGCGCGGGCGTGCGTCCTGCGGCATCGCGGTGCTGGCAGGCGAGCGCTGCCGGGGAGGGACGCGGGATGCTCTTGTCCTGGAGCAGCGATCTGTGAATTATTTATTGTAACGGTTGGATGGTGCCGAAGTGGAACCGGCGCTGGATTAAGCGGGAGGAGGAGTCTGGCAGTGCCGTGGGGAAGCTGTGCCGCGGGGCTGGGATAGAGGTGGTCCTTGTTCTCCCAGCGTGGTTCTGAAGAGCGTTCTGCTTCAGAAACAAGCAACAAGACGTGTTTTGTTCTTGTGGGTGCAGATACCCGAGAGGCGATCAGTTCCCTGTGGTGCCATTAACTTCCACACAACCCCTCGCAGAAGTGAAAGGTTTTTGTCTGTTTTAGTGGCAGGGGGGGGTTTTTTTTCGAAACAGTGCTCCAGACATATCCCAGCCTGGAAAAATTTAGTTTTAGGTTTTGCTTTCAAAGTTTAGAATAACCCTGAAAGGAACTATACATCATTAATGATTTCTATTAAAGATCTCATCATAAAGTAAGCAGATGATTCAGTCTTGTTTGGAAATGTATTTTTACTGGGAAAAAAAAAAAAGCAGTACATTTTTAGTTGTCTGGGCTTTTTATGAAAAGACACTTTGTTCTGCAGATGTATTACTGATTTGCTATATACTGTTTGAAATATAAATAGCAGGCTGGCACACTGTCATTCAGAGACGACTCTCAAAGGAATGACCTTATTTGAAAATTCCCTCTTTCCGTGGAGTACACGAAAGGTACAGAAAAACTTGGGCCGGCTGGGAAGGGACTCTCGAGTGGGAAGGCCGGGCTGGCTGGTGTAGAGAGCTCACCGAGTGGAGTTTTGTACAAAAGACTGACAGAAATCTCTGTTTGTGCGAGTGTGTCCCCCCCTGTCTGGCACCACTGAAGACACCACAGTGCTGTGTCCAAACAGAATTTTTTTGTTGTCGTTTCAGACCTTTGACACAATCAGGTCTTAGCAGAAGGCAGAGGTTTTTCATTAGTTTCAGTTAAAAAACAGAATTATCCAAAGACACCAACAAAAAAAATTGGTATTAGGGGAGCGAGAACACTCATATTCAACCCTGCAACTCCCTGTGCTGTTCCCGTCTGTACTGATAGCAAAGCCTCTCAACAAACATGAGAGAGAAATCTAATTCCACTGAAATGCTTGGGGAATCAAGTTCAAATGTTGATCTGCTAATACTCTCAGTTATAAAGATGAAGTAGTTGTAGCTCAGCTGGTTAGAGGGCGGTAGGATTAGCTTTTTTCCCGTCACTGTCAGACATCACTTTAGCTTGTTCCGCTCCCTTCCAGTTGTCAGTAATTCACACTTTTGTGATTATTTACTGTATTTACTTAGAACCCAGGTAATTCTGCTCCCCTCGGCAATACTGACACATGGCATCTGGAATTAGGTTTTCCCTGTGTTATACAAGTGACTGATTTAGGCTTTTGTTGGGTCCTTACTTGTGCTGACTCTCAGATTTCCCAACTCCAACACATCAGGACACGTAAATGTGCCCTCCTGAGGGACCGAGAAACTTGAGTTTCTCTCTCTTTCCCCTCACTCTATGTGCACGTTGCAGAAAGTTCTTACAGGAAACCTGTTGGTGTTATATTACTTAAATTGTTGTATTACATTCAGATGCTTTCTACAGTAGATGGATTTTTTTTTTTTCCTACTACTAGTTGCAGCAAAGTAGTTCACCTGCATTACTTCTATACCTTTATTTATTTTTAGGATGTTGTGCCAATAGCTCCCATTTTTGCTTTGTTTTTTCCCTAATCCAGCCTGCTTAAAATAGGTATGTTTGAATAATGTATCATTAGAAGTAGTATCACACCTTCTGGCCATATTTGGAGAAAGGAGCTTTAGTTTTGTTTTCATTACCCAATAACAAAGAGGGAAAAATTTAAATACAGAATCTTGAAGAGGGGAGTAGTCTTGACCACTGTCAAGGGCGCGTAACGAGGGTTTTGTCTTTGCGGTTCGCAGGAGTGACAGAGCTCGCTGGATCACAGCGCTCGGACGGGACCGAGCCGGGCAGAAAACCGACAGGACAAGTAAGTTCCAGCGAGCGGCTCCTGCAGCTTTGCTCGGAGAACAGGAACGCGCTGCCCCGTCCCCTCGGCAGCGCGCCCTGCGCAGTGTTCTTGTGCCACTGCACAGCAGCTTCTGTTCGCAGGCGTGAACTCAGGTTATTTCAATGGCAGCAAACAAGCAAAGCTGCTCCCATTATACTCTTATCCAAGTTTGTGGGTAACCACGCAGGTAGGAAGCCATTTGTAGAATTTGCTTCCTCCTTTGGGTTTGTGGTTTTGGGGAGTAAACTCTAAAATGGCTATTTAAAAATAGTGTGTGTGTATATATATTTTTTTTATTTTTACTAAAAAATGTTTTGTTAGGTGAGTTGTTTAATTCAGCCTGGCTTATTTCTTCCACAGCTTTGACTCAGGTAGAGATCATCAGGACGTACACAGCAAAGCAGTCAGATGAACTGTCCCTTCAAGTTGCTGATGTTGTTCTGGTTTATCAAAAAGTGAATGACGGTGAGTGAGAACGTTGCGGCAGCACTGCAGGTGCAGCCAGCTACAACTGTGTGTTTCCCATGGGCGGTGGCCGTACGATGAATGAAGGTTTAGCTTCCAGGAGGCCTGGGAGCACTTCTCCTCGTGTCCCTAAAGGACAGCCCCTGTTCAGCAACTGATGATCAAAGTAACTCGCTGCCCATCACCATTCATACAGACAAAGAGCTGTGGAAAGCACGTGCTGGCTGCTTTGGACACATGAAATGTCCTAAAATACGGAACTGCCTATTTTTAGAGTACAGACACTGTAGCACCAGAACAAGATGTGTGTGAGAAACACCCGTTAGCACTGAGCTGCGCTGCCTGCTCTGGGCAGGGGCCTGGCACAGGGCTTTTGTTTATGTCTTCCGCAGCACCCCAAGACCAAAATTGATTCTTGCTGGAACACGCAAGTGATGCTGCTGCTGTCAGGATGGGCTGACTCAGTGATGCTTGTAGTTGTCAGGACTTGAAGTATTAAATTATAACCTAATGATATTACTCAATATTCCATATGAAATCAAATATCCTATCAATTGTGTAGCACTGCTTGCTTTGGATTGTAATACTAAATTACTTCAAACTATATTTGAGTTGCAATATGAAAACTTAATACCCCGGTTTAATGTAATATTAATTTTCACTTATTATTTTGTTCCTAGTATGCCTGTGTAAAACAAAATAATCTGGTACTGTCTTAGTGTGGTACTTTATATATTTACCTTTGTTGTGAATAATGTGTGTCATGAGTAGATGCAGCTGACACACGGTTCTGACAAAATGGCTTTACTGTGACTTGAAAAGCTTTTGTTACTCGTCTTTTCCTCCTGCAGGTTGGTATGAGGGGGAACGGTTGCGGGACGGCGAAAGAGGTTGGTTTCCCTTGGAGTGTGCTAAAGAAATCACGTGTCGTGCCACGATTGACAAGAACATGGAGCGGATGGGACGCTTGCTCGGACTTGAAACCAACGTGTAGGCGGTTCGTGCCGCGGGATTTGCGCTACCTGCTGCCAGCGGGGCACGGCTGCATGCCGCACCGCTCGCCTGGAACACGGGTCACTGATGAGAGAAATCTGAACACAGCACTGGTGTGTGTGACACTGCTTTGTATGTGCAGGGCTCTCAGCAGATTTCAACTGAAACTTTTTTCCTAGGCCCTGGAGATCAGCTCCGCATCTTTTTGACTCTGACTTCAGTTTTGACTGTAGTTCTCCGTCCCTGCCTCGTTACGTATTCTGACACCCGGCTGTTTTCGAGCATTTTGACTTTCTTCCAGCAGCTGAACTCCGCGCAGCAGTCCGCATAGGACGCTGAGCACCAGACGCTCACCCAGTTCACTGAGCTAACATTGACACTGGGGCTTTCCTCCGGCTAGGAAACCAGCGAGTACGTTAATGGGGAACGCTTCGCCGTTGTGTCAAAATATCTGTGTGTACCCTGAACTAAACCAACCAGCGCTCTAATGCATAAAGGACTGCCTCTCCAGCACCAGCCCAGGAGGGACCCAGGCTTGGTAAGAAGTAATGAGCTCCCTGCTCGATGTTAGAAAAGCTCACACAAGCTCAGGGCAGAATCCTGGTGTTTTTTATCAGGGTGCGTTATGCACTCGGGCAGCTCAGACTTCTTTTAGTGCTGCCCTGGCGAGAGGATTCTTGAAAGCAAGAAAGATACTAAACTGCAGATCTGCGATGCGGATGATCCTGTCTTAGCACCACTCTGAAAAAGTGGTGGCACTGCTGGGAATGTGTCCCATTTAGTTTTAATTTCCCTCCTGTGTTTTACCTAGGTCTTCATACTGTTAGTGTTTTGGAGCAAGGCTTTTGATGAGGACTGCAAAAAACATAAAATACTTTGGTTTTATTGTAATTTTGCTCTTCTGTATTAGAGGAGATTGATTATTTCCTTCTGTGGAGGCAAAAAGTTCAACTGAACTTCAGTTTACCTACATCTTTAGCCATTGTTAGTGTCATGTTGAACCCACAGACAAAAAGAAACAGGAGAAAACCTGTAGAATTTTGTTAAGGTGCCGGTTCTTCTCATCTCCACTGTCTGTAGAAAGGGTAAGACCGAGGAAACACGTGGAAGCAGACAGCTCAGAACCTTGATTACCCTGTGTCTGTCAGGGGTAAGTGCAGCGGGATGCGATGGTGTCCCAGGGTGCTGCTGGCAGGAGGTGAGGAGAGAGAAAATCGTGCTCGGGCCCTGCTGCTCCCGGAAGAGCTCCCGTCGGTGCTGCTCACACGTGCTCCTCTCACACCACCTGCGAGACTGCTGCAGCTGCAGCTTAGCTTGGGAATGTCACAACAAGAAATCACCACTTAATGTTCTGTGAACAAAACGCACTCAAAAAATGAAGTAATTTCAGTGCATCTTTTCTGTATATAGCTGTGAGTCTGTATTATAAAAATCCTCACCTTTTTCACGACCAGCTGGTACCTCAGCAGGGTAGAATACAAGTTCAGTAAAAACACGAGACAAACGTGTAGTACAAAGGCTTTCTTTTTTAAAGGGGCTGTACGTTATTTTATACGCTGTAATATGTTGATTCCATTTGTACTGAATTGGGTGTTAATAGAGATGTATCTCTGTAACAATTTAAAGTATATTAGGAAGGCAGTAATTCTAAACAAAAATAATTACCATGACAGGCTGACAGTGGTTACACAACCTTGTAAATTAATTTATAAATAGACTGATAAAATAGTAGTGAAACTGTAAATTGAAGACTTATTTAAAGTAGTAAAAATAGTGCTAATATTTTAACAGATTTTATTGTACACAGACAGATGTTTAACACATAACTGAATGTATAAATCCAGACATTAATTTTATTCAGATTTTTTTAATACAGTGTATATATTTTTCATATCTAGTTTTTCCAAACATGCTGTAATGTTTTTTAAAGACATTTTTCATTTTTCCTATTGTTGGACACAGTTCTTCAGGAATTAAAGACTTGTAGGATTTTATAGGACAACAATCAATAAAATGCTTTTAAATTCTTACTAAAAGGGCCTTTGTTGTTCTTTTTTTTTAAATACCATTAAGCTGCGAGGGTTTTGTCAAAGAAATGAAGTCTGTTCTGTGACGTGTGGCATTTTAAGATTTTTCTGCACCCCTGGGGAAGCTCCTCTCTAACCAGACAATCTCCAGGCCCCGGAGGACAGGACTTGAGCCCTGATGCCAGCTCTGCTCTCCTGAGCCCTTGGCCACGGCTCTGGTGCACTTTGCACACCTGACCTCTAGGAGGGACTGTACAGAAAGTAATTCAAAATAAATCACGAGAGAAGGACAAAACAAGCCCTAACACAGGGAGTGCAAATGTTAGATCCAGGTCTCGTGTTAATGATGACTGCAGTAGTTATTATTAAATAGTTACACTAAATGCCCAGTACCACACTGCAATTATTTACAATGTGTAACTTGCAAACAAGTTTTGGAAAGCTGGGGTTTTGTTTGTTTCACACTCCCCTTCTAGCAATTCCACACTATTTGCATTTGCAGAAAAAGCCATCTGAGTTCCTCTGAGATGAGCACACCCCCATGTTTATGTTCTCTCCTGCCCAAGGAGGAGGAGATGACACCGCAGCTCCTGTTTAATGAAACAGCAGGGACAGAATACAGCTGGGAGTTTGTTACTATAAAATTAATCCTCATTTTTGCAGAGCCTGGAATTTGCACCCTTTCTTCACACATGAGCTCTTTAATCACCAAAACCAGAAGGCTCTCAGGTTCCTGACTCGATGCAATTAACCACACGTTATGCGAGGCGGGCACAAACCTCGCGCAGTGCAGAGCCGAGGCCTGGCCCAGCACTTCGGGACCTGCACGCACAAGAACGAACCCTCGGCCTTCCAATACCCCTCCCCGAATGCACAACCCCGGTGACAGGCAGCGCTGTCCTCAGGGACCCCGGCTCCACCCCAGGGAGCCGCGTTGCCTCCGTGGGGGCTGTGGGTTGCCAGAAACTATCAACACCCCTTCAAAAACCAGAGCCCGCCTGACTTCAACCTGTCTCAGCATTTCCAAACATCCACAAGACAGAACTAACAGTTAATACTGACTTTCCTGCCGTCTTTGTATCACCCCTGCAACATAATACATAACACTTTTATCTGCGGAATTTACTTAAAAAAGAAGTAATACCATCATGTTCTTGACTTTCATGTCAAATACATTTCTTCCATTATGCACAGCTAATTTGCTGGAAAAAAAAGTACCAAGTACCACTTCAGTAGCAAGTACCCACTTCAGTAACAACATTACACAGCCCCATAAAACAAAGGCTTTGTGCAGCAGTATTTACAGGCACACACCTGAACTGCACACACAGAACAACCACCTTTTCCCCCCGTATATCCTGTTTCCAAAGTAACACACACTTAGTCAAACAAGTGGCCAGAACGCAAGTGTTAGAAACTAACCTGGAGTAAGTTTTGATGCCAAACATGAGGAAGTCTTGTTTTCTGGGAATTACAGAGCTAGTGCTGAGCTTAGCTCTACTGTAGTCTGCAAATGCTTTTCAGCAGCAGTATCATATAACTCCCAACATTTAGACCAACTGACGATAACACAAAGGTCAAGAAGAATTGACCGCTGAATTGTATTTCATTCCATAACCTCAAGTTCCAGAAGATGCTGGAAACTCTGAAACAGCAAGAGCCTTCGCTAAGTGTACCAAGAACTGGGTAGAGAAACATTCATGGTCTGCGACTAGCAACATGAAAAAATAAAGTTTAAAAAACCTTACACCAGCATTACTTCATAGAATGCTTACTAACCTGCTGTTCCTAACCCTGACACACCGCTGAAAACTGCACACTTGAACTTGCTCACCCCCCAGTGGGATGAGGAAAAGAATCCTAAGGGTAGGCATGCCAAAACTCTGGGTTGAGGTAAGACAGTTTAACAGGCAAAGCAAAAGCTGTGGCCGCAAGCAAAGGTGTTCTCCGCTTCCCGGGGTAGGCTGGTGTTCAGCCAGCCCAACAGCGGCGGACAGCCACCACCGCTGA